ACTTGTCTTGTAATTCTGTAATTGGCAGCTCTCAACTTTCAGGTAACTTTCCGGTATGTTACATTCTATACTGTTACACTCAGTAAGAACAAACAGCAGTAAGAGTGTAAGTGAAACAAATAAATAAATTTCCTCCTCACTTCCAAAAACTACCAGAGACCGACAAAAAGTCTCTGCAGTCCCTTCCTCACTTTGAAGATTTACATTCTGAAAGAATAAAGAGCCACATTTACACGAGTTAATCCCAACTTCATCCTTTTTCCTTCTTCTCCAAAATAAGGGGCACACAAGATGCATTGGGGTGCAAAGAAACCATTAGGAGATCCATTTTACTTATTTATATACTAAAAAGAAATCCATCGTTTCTAATAGTATATATACTATTAATAAAAATAATAGTAGGATGGTTTAGAAGGAAATGTACATATTTTGGGTTACATAATCAAAAGTTTAAAACTATTTTCATGCATCATTTTAAAAGTTTGGGAACTGCAACTAACTCTCCAAATACTTGCATGAGAAAGAACTCTCAGAGATTCCCTGTGGTAGGCAGATTAACGCCATCAACTCCCTCTCCCCATCAAAGATGTTCAAGTCCCATTATCCAGAATCGGTAAATATAGATTACTTGACAAAAGAGATATTTAAGACGTGTTTTAAGATATGGACCCTGAGATGGGGAGATTATCCTGGATTCTCTGGGTGGGCCCAATCTAATCATATGATTCCTCAAAGGTATAAAACATTTTCCAGCTGCAGTCAGAGAAAGAGAAAAGTGATAGCGGAAAAGAGTCAGATAGATGCCATGTGAAAAGGATTTGACTCACCACTATTTTGAAGAAACTGCTAGTTTTGAAAAAAAAAAACTGCTAGTTTTTGAGGAAGAGGCCACAAGTCAAGGAAAGCAGGTGGTGTCTAGAAGCTAGAAAAGGCAAGAGAAAGGACACTCCTCCAGAGCCTCCAGAAAGAATGTAGCTTTGTCAACAAGTGATTTTAGCCCCATGAGACCGTTGAACTACTGAAATGTGAGCTAATAAATTTGTATTATTTCAAGCCACTAAATTTGTGGTAATTTGCTATGGCGGCAACAGGAAACTTATATACTCCATCTGCCCTAACTAATTCTGACTGCTGGAGTATTAGGACAGATCAAAGTACTACACCAAATGGATTCAAGCTGCAATCATTTAAACATTTTTTTTGGTCAGCATCTCCTGAATTTGCATCACTAGGGGAACACCTAACAGTGAAGTCTGACATGAGAAGTTGATGAAATATTATTTGCAAAAATGGAAATAGAAGAGGAAAAAGTTCTTTGGTCAAGAAGAGGTAAGTTTTCAGATATGATCTTCCTCCATTATCTGAACATTATCTGCAGTGCCATCAAATATCACAAAAGAGTAAAACAGCTGACCTTGGAATAAGTTGCATTTTCCCCCAAATCTAAGGCACTTAGAGAATTTTAAAAGTCATTCTTCAATATTTGAACTTCAAAAGGTAAAATTTCCAGGAATGACAGTATCGTGCTGGAAACATTAATGTGCCAGCATGAAATAATATCATTCTGTAGGAGGTAATAAAGGTATGAATTATGTCAAATTGTATTTGGCTCATGGATGTTACTGTGCTTCTTATGGGCAGATACAGCTAACAGGCACAAGAACACCTGCCTGTCTCCCTCAGAAAATTAAAGTCATGTGCACAAACATCAGTCTACGAAATTAGGGGACCATTTGTGGCAAAATGAAAATGTGCCCTGTTACAGATACACTTCCCAAGGATATGGAGTATCTCTTGTTACAGCAGAACATAATTTTTCTCCTGGTCTTGCTCACTGTAGAAAGAACCATTAACCCATTTACATTACAAGTGGTGGCTTCTACTCCCGTTAGGTAATATAATATGCTAAATGAACTTGCTGCTATGCTATATATATAGTGCTCTATTATAGACTTTCACCATTAATTGGTTTGGGGTCATTGGCTATCTCAGTTAATGTGAGGAATCCATTGTTCTTTAAGCAAAATGTTCAATAGCATCTCCCATTGAAATGGGCCAGATTCAAATGATATGCATCGTTATGCATGTGCCAAGGTACAGGTGTATGGGTTTTCCTGCATTTGTATTTAGGGTAAGAAAACAGAGTCCAATTTTTAAAGTTTAAATAAAGTGTTTACAGGTGTTATTTTGTCCCAAAGTTGTTCAAACTCTGAGGAAATGCAGCCCGAGGAAAATACAAAAATCTGTAAACCTCACGGTGATTTAACCCTTCTGGAGCTAAAGCACTAAGAAGGGAAAGCTGCCTTTCTCTTCTCTGCCCCCGTCTGCAGCTGCATGTAGATAACACTGCAAAGAGAACCATCACTTCTGCTACAACCTGGGTAATAATGTGCTCAGTTAATCTACACAACATAGAGTCATCCTCTCAAAAAGTAATTCACTTCTTTAAAAACTGGAAGGAAAATAAATATGGTGCAGTAAAATTGTTGAGTAGAGGAATCTATCTGGACATTTCACAAAACATTTCATTATGCTGACAATTCCCAGAAGTACTCTCAAGAGTGCTTTAAGCTGAGGATTACTGCACTGGAGCTGATGGACTTTTTTTGTAGCCCCTTTAAAAGGCAGTGAACCGTTTTTCTATTTTATTTAAATAATGCCCCTTAAAATGGATTTTTAGAGGTATAATAACTCCTTAAGAGTCAGTTATGCTAAACAGTTTCTCTTGATAGAAATGTTGTAAAACTCGTTAACTGCACAATTTCAGATGCCGGCTTGGTGAACACTAACTGACATGTGAATGACCAGAGTTTGTAAAATAAATTGCAATAGTTGTTGTATCACACAGCTAGCATTGCACAAGCTGGAGGCCACGAGGGGCTCCAACCTGACAGAAAATTACTTCAAGATGAATGAAAAGTGCTTGTTGCTCTTTATTAGTTTTTAGAGAACAATGAAAATGTTGAATTGTTTACAGAGGGCTGATTAAATGTGGTCAGTGGGGCCATGTCCCTACTGCTAACTGTTGGCCTCCTTCTCTCACTGACCCCCAACCTACCCACTCACACGCCACCTACTCCAAGCACCCAACCCCCACCCTTAGCTCCCTGCCACATGCATCTTCTTAAGAGGCTATTATGGCTGCACATCTGTGTGTGAAATGTGCTCATTCTGACATTCCACTGCTGCTCAGAGCTGCAGAGGCCTTTGTTGGGTAAAACACTATTGTCAACTCTAACAAGCAGGTCGTGCAATTTGCTGGACACTGCGGCAGAGAACAGCCCAGGATGAATTGCTTTGGCCTCAAACAATGCTCAGTTCCATACTGGAATACATATGTATTTCTTTCAATGTGCAGTACTACAAAAAGTCATGACATTTTGGGTTTTTTAAGGCTTTGATTTAAAAATATATACACATGATGCTAGGGTTAGACTACCACAAAATAGCCTATTTGTTATATTTACTTAGGATAACTACTGTCTTATGGCTAAAGGAAAAAGGCATGAAGTGCTTTAATTGGTCATTTGTGGTTTAAATCCCATTTAAGTTTTACCAGAAAGCACAGTGAAAGGAAAGGCACTAGCTACCATTTTAGCTGACTCTTTGGTGTACTTAAAGGGGTGGTCAAAAACAGGGCATTTAGGAGGATGTTGTGGAGAATGATTCTCACTTTATATTTCCACAAAGTAAACAGCCTTTGATGGAAAGAAATATGAGAGCTCATTAATAAGCACATGCCAAACAGGAAGAAAAAACAGTCCTTTTACCAGACCGAGCTAAGTGAATCAGATCCAGAAGATGTTTGAGTAAACTAAAAAATTAAGGAAAAGCAAATCACTGCCACCCGGCTCAACAAACAGCCTTCCATGGCCCATCTCCTTCCTCACTCCTAACCTCACCCTTACACGCACACGCGTGCACACACACGTCAGGGAAATCAGCGGTAACGGAGCAGTTCAAGTGCTATTTGTGGCATTCTGACACAACACATGGTACACACCCCTAATGTGTAAGCAGGACTCACTTTCCCTCTGTGCAGAATATGCATTCTGAGCCTATTATGTGTATAAACAATGGCATATGTAATTACCTTACTAGGGTGGCAATTATTCCTCAGAATCAACAACCAGAGTTAAAGCATGTTCCCCTAAAAGACATTTGGGGATCAATTCTGGGTCAATTACGTCAGGCTTTGATTTATCACATGGTGTCAGGCTGTGTTAAAAAAAGAAAGTTAAAAAAAAAAGGCATTATGAGATAAAGGCTAAAGGCTTGACTCAAATTGGTTTGTTTCCAACTTTGCTTTCTCCCAATTGCTCTGCCCTCCCCCATTCTCAAAACAACTGTGATTTGCTGGGTTTTATCTGTTAGACAGTTTGCTGTTTGGGAATACTAAATGAAATGATTCTGGACTACGTCCAGATTTGATCTGCCCCCACACCACCAGGCACTGGGAATTTCTCCTGGGATGCAGCAGAGGGGAGAGGTTAATAGTTCAGGCTTTAGAATCTAAGAGATCTGGATTTAGATCCCCACGACTTAAGCAAGATACATACATATCTCTGCAGTAGATAATACCTACTTCAGATGGTTGCCGTAAGGTTTAAATGAGATAATTAAGTGAGAGAATATGTGTAAAAACACTTAGCTCAGCGCCTGGCATGTCGTGAATACCCAGTGAATAGAGTGATTGCTCTTCTATTGGTGGACAAGCCAGAGGAGGAGAAGCAGAACAGCCCCTCCAAAGGCCCACCCTTATTGAGCTGGCCAAGGGGCAGAGGAAGCAGAGTGGATGTTAGTACAAATCACAGGGCTGAACTGATGAATCCAAGACACTCATTCAGAAGCCCAGGGGACTAGACCGTATATGAAGAATCCAGTTGATTTGGGACTCATTCTAACGAGACTGACTACAAACTACAAACCAGTGAAGGTGCTACTCTGTTAGCAAGACCCCTCTGTCTTTTTATAGAGTTTTAAGAACCACAGAAAAAAAAGCTACTTTACACATTTTAATCACCAAATGTTACTCAACATATACTTACTATGCACCAGGTACTGTGCTAGGTTCTGGGAACACAGAGATGGTCCCTCCACAAATTTTTCCCAGAATAGGAAACAAATGCTACAGTTTCATACAATATAGTTTTGTAACTCAGATTAACAAATATCCCATATCACCATCAGGAGTTTGGGGGCAGGCATCCTATTAAGGATGACTCATACAACTAAAGTTATCAGTCAAATTAGAACTATTCCTTATTGAGGAGCAAATAAAAGTTTTTGGAAATTAAGTAAAGAAAGGAAGGTATGAGAATTCTTATCGAATTCTTTCGGAAGCAATATAATTTCCTATTCAAAGAACATTTTAAATCCACTTTCTATGGAGCAACATTGTTTATTCAGTAAGAGGAAAACAGCACTTACACGATTCATTTCTCAAAGGGCACATAGTGCTATTGGCAGTATGTATTGGCAGCTTAATTAAGAAGTCTGTTGATAATGATTTTAAGAAAAAAAAAGCTGGCACATTTTCAATTCAGATGGACACTACTGAAGACAAAGACATGTCTATTGTTGGTTCGTACATGCTAAAATGTGTTACATACACTACATAAAATGTCTAGTGTCTGCAGTCATATTAGTGCCTTAACATTGGAAAAATCATGACTTATTCCCAGATCAGAAATAAATTTTTGAAAAAACTGTACAGTAATTTTGGAACATAGCAGACAACACAATGAATACTAAAACAGCCAAGTTTTCCTACAGAGTCACTGCCTAGGTCTGTTTTGCTCCTTCCCTGCCCTATCTTGGGTCCATGAGCTTTCCCAAGTTTGATCCAAATCTTCCCTTCCCCACGCTAATAACTTACTCAGAATGTCAGGCCCCTAGGGCACAGAAGGTAGAGGCCTACAGAGACAACAGATGTAATTCATCTACCTACTCTGCAAGAAATGTACAAACACAAAATACTTTTCCAACAGACAATCTACACCTAAAGGGGAAAAAAAAGAATTTAATTCAATTAACTCCAACTATAATGTGTTAATATCTCTAACATCTACTGAATATTTATAAAATCAATGAAATAAATCCTACCTATTGAAACTCCAAAAAAATGGAAGATGTCCTGAGTTGCCCACATTAGATTATTTCGTTTTGTTTTGTTTTGTTTTGTGTTTTATTAAAGGGATTTAAAATACTTGCAGAATACACTTTTCCATTCATTTGTTTTCTATCTTAGGGACACACTTAATTAAGAGCAGAAGAAAAAAAGTGCCCTGAAACTAATTGTAAATCCATTGAAGGCAGGAAACATCCTAATTTTCTCCCTCATTTTCCCTCCCCTATTTTGTGCAGTGATTCACACATAGTAAGTACTCAATTAAGCTGAAAAGACAATGCATGTTTCAATTCACATTAATTGGGAGGGGTTGCATTGATTTAAGTAACAGCTGAGACAAAAAAGGATAAGTTCAATCTTTCCTGATTTATGGGCTAGTGAGGCACACTGTCTTGAAAACTTTGCCGAAGCTTGTGTGACACTGGCATCATTAACTGCTGGCCACTGTGGCATTCTTAATGTCTTGATTTGTTTGCATTTTTGCTGATGGTAACAAGATGATTCTCCAACGGCTGTCTTTCCAATAAGAAAATGTGAAAGGTGATGTGAAGCAGGTATTCAGTGAAGCAGGTATTCAGTCTACCCCTGTCCTACAGACAGTACATCTGTAAACAAAATGGAAACAAATGATTAATCCAAGCCTTTCTAAGAGCAACTTTTCAGAAGTACAGCAGTTGGTCTTTTGGTGATCACTACAATTATTTAGCTCAAACTTTCAAAAATACAACCAAGATCTTTGGTGGTGATAATGCTGTTTGAAGTTATCTTTCCTTACCTTAAATAATGACTTTGAAACCCATGCCACCCAGGTGCAGATCCAAGCCCTAATAAAATCAGAAACACCACCTATCTATACATTTTGAAAACAACTATCCAGGTAAGGAATCTGCATTTTCTTCCCTTGCCTCCATAAACAGGAATAAACCCCCCCTGAGGTGCCGAGCCCTATCCCTTAATGAATAGTAAATTTTTGTCCATGCCTGTGTCCCATCAGGTGGCACCAAAGTGGATGGCCAGGAAATCACAGCTGCAGACAGCCTCCTGCTGTGAAGCAATCAGGCTGGGGAGGAGCACTCTTTATTCAGCAAAGGCTCTGAACTAACCAGGTAAGTAAAAGAAGCATAAACACTTCAAAGGTCACCTCCAGCAGACAAGGCCCCTTGATAGCAACAGACAGATACAGGTAGGCCCCACCTTAGGCTTTTCAGTCATACTCAGGCACATGCACCTTACTAACACTATCTTAGAACAGGAAAGAAAACCATCTTTGCAAGAAACATTCACATGCTCAAGGGCTATTTCTCTCTAAAATGTCCCACTGCAGACCCACTGCAGTTGAGATGTAAAGCCAACAAACACACAAGTAAGCTTAGCCTTAACACATTTATTCACTAATTTACTTTATTTATTTGGGTTTTTAAAAAAGCAGGCGCAAAGCAATGTGCTTAAAGCACCCTTCAGCTCATGAACAAAAATGTCATACTATATGAGCATTTAATATCAGCCTGGAATCATTTTAGGTTTTTCCTTCTCTACCCATTATATCAAACTTGTCACTGAAACATCTTCTTAATTTGAAATGTCTTTTGCAGTGCCCTTTACTTCTGAATTTCTACTAAATCCTCCCTACCCCTTTGTCAAGACCTGATCTCCTCTGCCTGGCATATGACAGGCTCCTAGCTATGCCTACATCTCCTCTGCTCTAGTCTCAATTCCTTCCAGGTGATGCTACCTCCACTGGGCCTCCACTGCAGCCATTCGCTCCAAGATCTGTCTGAGCTCGGTCCCCTGAAGTCTCTACTAAAGAGGCTCAGCCCAGCTGTGACCTTCAACCCATCCTCATCAGGCAGGCAAAAGAGAAGCAACCTCAGCCCACCAGATAGCAGGAACCGTATTCCTTCCTTGGCCACAAGTGCATTGAATTGCACTGAGTTTACACGGCTTCATCATTTCTCCATTTCCCTGCTTCCTCTAGACATGTTGGCCCAATCTTTGGAGCTGGCTTTTACCTTGACTAGTTTCCCTCTTTCCTTCAATACCATGTGCCTTGCCCTGAACTTAAACCTACTTGACTAGGGCCATGACACTACACTTCCCCAGATTCTATTCCAGAACTCCAGCTGCTGGCTGGGATCCAGCTACGATTAGATTGCTCCCTGCCATGACACCACCATTCCTGACTCAATCTCACCTGCTGTCTACATTCTAGTTAACCAAGTCTCCTTCTGAATTGGATCTCCTCAGTTTCTTTCGTGACCCAACCCTAAGATCATCACTTCCTCTTGTTCACTGTGGACTAGACTGCGGGCTAACCCTAGTGCAGGCAGACTCCAGTCCCTGATACACCTAGCCTTGACTTCTCTTATTCCCTGGCAACCTATGTCACTGAGATACTGCATAGAAACCCTGTCTTCTCAGCCTACACAAATTCTACTTAAGAGGCTAGTTTTTATAATATCTACAATGTCTTTATATTTATTCATTCATTCAATTTCCTAATTTATCCTCCCTTCATTCCATAAAAACTTAAAAGAGGTTAACATTAACTTAATTAAAAAAAAAAAAAAACTTACATGACTACCTACAGGTTAACTCCTGCCTGAATTCTGAAGTACCCTACTTTCCTATTCTACTTCACTCTCTGGTCTCCAAAATGAAGTCTCTGCTTCAGGCACACAGATGCACTGACCTCTAAGCTCATTATGCATCACCCCCTCTTTTCTGCCTTCTTAATTAGTTCCTTTCATCCTTTGGCACCTCACTTGTGACATGATCTAAAAAGCTTTCCCCAAGAAACAAATCCACATTGACTTATCTCTTACCTGGGTTCTTCTGGAATAATCAATAATACACAGTTCAACTACTTAATCTTCACCAAATGTTTCATATCTATTAGCTCCCAGACAATTAATTCTTTGAAAAGTGGGATACGGGGGTGCCTGGGTGGCTCAATCAGTTGAGCGTCCGACTTCGGCTCAGGTCATGATCTCACAGCTTGTGAGTTCGAGCCCCGCGTCGGGCTCTGTGCTGACAGCTCGGAGCCTGGAGCCTGCTTTGGATTCTGCGTCTCCCTCTCTCTCTGCCCTAACCCACTCGCATTCTGTCTCTGTCTCTCTCAAAAATAAATAAACATTAAAAAATTTTTTAATTAAAAAAAAAAAAAAGAAAAGTGGGATAAAGGCCATGTCCTGTATTTGTTATGGTGCCTTCAAAGTACTTGATGTTGATCTCTAGGACAGCAAAGTTCCACTTCCACATGCTCTCTACCCTTACTCCACTCCCCAGCCTCACTCCCATGGAGGAAAAGAGGCAAGAGACTGAGTCAAGTTACTGGATTCAAACAAGCCTCTTAGTAGGCAGCGAAGCTTTTGGTCTATGCGGAAAAAAGGTTAAAAGTTCTGACTTCTGTAGGCTGTGGCGTCTTTGGAGTTCATCTCTTGTGATTCTCACTCTCTTTAGATTGCTTCTCTCCACTTCCACATGGCCAGTGAGGCAAAACAGGTATAGAACTGCCTTTCACTTGGGAGATGCTCCTCAATAACACTTCCTCTAGATAAGGCCTACGGCAGACTAATAAGACCAGCTCTAACTTAACTTCTATTTTTCTTTTTTTGTTTTTCTCTTAGTCACTAGTAAAGTAGGACCTAAAGAGCTGGACCCAGGAAAAAGGACCATGGAGGTCTATCTGTGAGCAAGACACAATATTTCCAAGCAGCTCCATATGGGCAACTGAGTTCATCAGAGACTGCATTAGGTTTGAGAGCTGGGCAGGGGGGCTCTTCTCTTGTGAAATTTTGAATTAGCAATTGCAGATGACCAGAGTCCACTGTAGAATCATGTAATATTTATGATATCTCACATATTATATTTAAATATATCATACATGCACTGTATACATTCATATATATACATACATACATACACACACATGCATACATAACTTTGATATACTACTTGGAAAGAAATGGATAATGGACGTAGGCACATCCCAAAGCCTTGAGCTCATCTGTCATTGTCTAAGCCTGTGGTCAAAATTTTATTTCAAAACAATGTTCATAATTGGCATATGACGCGGAGACTGCCAACTATCCTCTAATACCCATTCTTTCCTTTTTCCTTCATTACTAGAACCCCTAAATTTTGAGAAGTACATGGCTACAAAAATATATTTTCCTGGCAGATAGGTATAGCTAGTAGGATGTGAGTATGAGTTAGAAGTGCAACATCTAGGAAATGCCTTTAAAAAGAATGATTATGGGGCACCTGGGTGGCTCAGCTGGTTAAGCATCCGTTGGTTTCAGCTCAGGTCATGATTTCATGGTTCATGAGTCTGAGCCCCAGTTGGGGCTCTGTGGCGATAGTGCAGAGCCTGCTTAGGATCCTCTCACACCCCCACTCTCTCTGCCTCTCCCCACTCACTCTGTGTGTCTCTCTCAAAATAAATAAATAAACCTAAAAATTTTTAAAGAATGATTATACATCTTCAGACATATGAATGAAGCCAACACCCAGGGATAGCTGAGTAGTAAGACAGAAGTTTATTTCTCCCCCCCTTGACAGTATAAGCATAAGCAGTCCAAAGCTGGTATGGCACCTCCACCGTGTCAGGGAGCTCTTTCTGGCTTGTTTGGAGTCTCTTAACCAAAGCAAAAGTTAGTTTGCTATAGCAAATACTGCACTGTATTTCTAGCCCTGCCACTTATGACCTATCAAACCAGGGACAAATTATTTAAATTCTATGACCTTGTTTGTATCTATACCTATTTCACAGGTTGTTACCAACATGAGATTGTATCTTTTTTTTTTTTTTTTTGCTTCCCATTATAGCCCCAGCTTCTATCACAGTGTCTGCACACAGTAAGAATCCAATAAAAATTAATTATTATTGCTGTTCCTATTGATATGCCAAATCTAGACACATAATGCCACACCTTAACAACAAACCATTAGGTACTTCCAATAAAGATATGAATAATGCTACTAATCAACATGGCATACATTAGAGTGATTGCTTTTTCTGACCCAAATCTTAATAAACCTGGTCTTACAGAAGGTTTTTTCTGACTTGTGAACTTAGTTTTATGAAAGTTCATATATGTTAAACCACTGGTTGTCAACTTAATGAACTGACTTCACTTGCAAAAATTATCTGCCTAAATTGGGCATCCCTGGAAATTCAAAGGCACATAGCCCCAACATTATTGGTTCTAGTTTTTATTACAAGGTTCCACTGTGCATGTATACGATGTGGGGGGAAAAAACTGGGTTTTTTTTGAGACAGAGAGAGACAGAGGATGAGCAGAGGACAGGCAGAGAGAGGGAGACACAGAATCCAAAGCAGGATCCAGGGTCTGAGCTGTCAGTACAGAGCCGATATGGGGCTCGAACTCACGGACTGAGTCCGGTTGGACTGAGTGACGGACGGTCAGATCATGACCTGAGCTGAAGTCAGACGCTTAACCGACTGAGCCACCCAGGTGCCCCAAAAACCTGATTTTTATAACACGTTTATGGTTGTGAATTTGTATTTCAGAATCTTAAGAAAAATCATTCTTCTGTTTTCCCAAAGAAAGATGGGCACTTCTTGCCTCTGCAAAAATAGCAT